AGTAGTAGTAGTAGTAGTAGTGCAGAGCAGGGGGCTTGGGTTCGTATGGATTCAGTTGTTGTTGGCGCGGTGTTCCGTAAATGAAGCTTGTGCGGCTCCCCAAAAAAAGCTGAAGGGGGTTGGGGGTAGGGGGAAGGGGAGCACCACCCTAATTTGCACAATAGCCGCAACAATAATAATAACAGTAGGATAGTACTAATGCTTTTTAGTAAGCCAAAAAACACTCGTAACAACAATACGGGCAATAATCACAATAAGAATAGCCGGGACAATAATAATGGTAATAAAAATAGTAACTCATAGCAACAACAACAATCATAATAGCAATAATAGCAAAAAATCGTAGGAATAGTTGTAGAAGCGGCAATAATAGCAAAAATCGTGTGACTGATCGAAAATGGCAATAATACGAACACTGCCAATAATAGCTACTTTAGCAATAATAATTGTAAGGATAGAAATCATTGTAAAAGCGTGGTAATCACAGTATTAGCAACAAATTGACGAATGTTAGTAAGGAAAATAGAAATAATAACTGCCATAAAGGTGATCATAGGGCTTCTTATTTTTCGATTGACCTTTTTTTGATTTTTGTCGATCCCTACCCGACCTCTCTATGCATCAGGGCACCGTCAATACAATTTCCCCTCCTGGCAAGAAACAGCATTGATCTGACATTGGACATCACGCCAAGAGACGGGAGGGTTTAGAGTTTAGGGTCTCGAGTAGGGGCCTAGGATCGAGGACATTTTGGGTTTCAAATGAACTTATTGAAGTGACAGTGAGAGTTCCAAGGCGTGCCGTACTAAAGCCTTGATGCTAAAAGCCTTTTAGCCTTTCAGATTCGGCGAAAATTCCTGCAAACTTCAAACCCAAACTCCAACCTCGCGCACTCTACAGCCGTGCCTGGACTTGATGCCATGTTCATGATTAGTACGTTATTCTTCGCGTCATGCTTGTTTTACATAATTATTTTTGTACCCGTGGACTTCTTTAACGGCAAGATTGGACAAATCCTTAAATTGGCTATGTTCATGCATTTGGTTGCAGTATGTTGCAGTTATCTGTCATAAACAATCTGAATAGTCCTAGCGCGTCCAAGCCACATAACGCTCAGAGATGCCCTCGGGTAGTCGTCTGTGAAAAAGATCTTCATGTAGCCAGTCTTGAAGTATCTGGCGGCAAAGAATGCCAGCCCATCACCCCACCCCCTAAACACAACACTGCAGCCGCTTGATCTCTTTCGGGCTGACGTCGGGTTTAGACAGGCGTCCAACTCAGGACTTGCGTGCCGACAAACCTAACTGCCCCTGCGAACTCGGAACACGAGGAACACTGGCACATGGCACAACAATGGACATCCTTCCAGACGCTGATGGTCGTCAAGCTCTGGCATACCCTGCAATTAAACATTGCTGTCAAGATGCCGGAATGCGAAGATTCCAAAAGTGGAAGCAGTGGCCATCGTCTTTGTCCAACAGCTCAGCTCCCCAAAGTACTCCTGGTGTAGGATGCTGGGCTTCGCTCTAAGTGTTCTCGACACTCACACTTGGATCGTGGGCTAATCCATGCTAACAACAAGTCGACACTGCGAGCTTACAGCCTGCAGCCACCAAAGCAAACAAGCTTGTACAACACACACGTCGCAACATGCCACTCGATTGTGATCTTATGGATGCCTCAAGTGGCGAGCAAACGGCAACAGTAAAACCCTGCTGTTTCGAGGGTGAAGAGGGCGGGTGGTGTCAAAATGTTTCCTGACCAGGCAATTGACATACGAGCCAGTGCAGCAGCGTCCGGCAATAGCACTACAAATGCAGGGAAGTGGATCGACGACTGGGCTCATTCCGAACACTCGAGACGAGACCAGATGCACACACCCCGAACTCTGGGAGTTGTGAAGCTGTTCCAAGTATGGCACATCCCACCCCTCGCGATCATTGACAGCACCACATCAAAAGCGCAGCCCTCCAGTTTCCAGAGTCCAACCTATGTCAGCCCGTGTTGAGCTTTCATACGAAACTTCAGCCCCATACAGGGTGCAGAAAGAAATTCTGTCATCCAGGAAGAATTGGCCCACCGTGCGTGGCCTAATCCTGGATTCCAGCCTGACAACAGTATGACTCCCACAACTTGCAACCAAATTCTGCACCACGAAGTCGAGCCCATGCACCGTGTCACAACGAGGAAACAACAACAACAACAACCAACAAC